AATTCTATATATATTATATATTTATTCCTTGATCTCACATTTCTCCTCTTCGTTCTCTCTCTTGCTCTCTCTCTCTCTCTCTCTTTGTCTCTCGTTTTCGCTTTGTATACTGCTCTGTAGTAAAGAATAGATTTATATGAGCAAATAGTAGGTAGTTGTTATTCTTTTTCCCTTTGTTTCTAGGGCACTCTCTCCCTATCTTTCTATTCTTCGACCGTTCTTCAAAGATTGATCTATAGAGCCGCTACTAAAAAATATTCTCTTTCATTACTTAAGTCATGTTTAATTATTTTATACGAGTGATATGAAATCTGTTGGGATTTCTTAGAAAAATACATCAAAAAATAAAAAATAAAAAAAACTTGAACAACATAAATATAAAAAAATAAAACAAGAAAAAAAATCTTAGCGTCAAGGAAGCATATATCCTGTTATATTCTCAAAAGTAAAAAAAATACTTGTGATAATATAAAAAATCATTGAATGCATGTTTCACTGATCATTTGATTAAAAAGAAAAACAATAGGTAGAAAAACCTGTAAGTTAAAAATAACAAAGTATTGAAGGTTAAGTAAACGTTTATGAGGAGTCGATAGATCTGATTCATCGGCAGTATGCTCTACAGATCATAAACTGTTAACAGATGATTGTAGAGATCTTGTCAGTATGAATTGACACATTACATTGATATCTAAGAAAATAATTTTTCTACTTTATATGTTAGCTTTTCTTCTCTCATTTAGACAATAAGAATAAGTAATAATTTTGCTTACTTATTTAGAAAAATAAACTAATTTAACAAAATATTAATAATAATAATAATCAATATGGGTATAAAATCGACAAAAAATTCACGACTTGATCCAGAAATACTTGAAATACTTGTACAACAAACTGGATTAGAACGAGAAGTGATTATTGCTTGGCAGTAAGTTATTTTTTGTTTTTTATTTTACACTTTAAAATATTTTTAATATTTAAAACTTAAAATAAATAAATTTATTTTAGTTCTTTATTTTTCTTTTTTTCATTTCAATAAAATATTTACTATTATTCATCATTTTGTTCTTCCTCACATATCTTTGTTGTTTTCTAATCATCAATATACTAAAATTTGTGTATATTCTAATTTTAGGAAACAATTTTTATTAGCATGTCCAAGCGGAAAAATGGGTCGTAAAGATTTCTATAAATTTTATCGTACATTACGTGTAGAATCAGATGAAAAGGTGAAAGAAATTGCCAATTTTATTTTTGCAGCATTCGATCGTGATTCAAATGGAAAAATTGATTTTACAGAATTTTTAGGTAAAAATATTTATTAATGAAAATAAAATAAAATTATTTTTAATTGTCTACTTGTTGTTTGTTTTTTTTTGTTTCTATAGGTGGTTATGCGATTACGTCTTTAGGAGATACACGAGCTAAATTAGAATATGTATTTGCATTATACGATAAAGATAAAAGTAATTCAATTGATCGAAAAGAAATGATACGTGTTATTAGTGCTATGTATGATCTTTTGGGCAAAAGTAAAAGTGAATATCCACCAGAAAAATGTGTTGAAGATGTATTTTCTCTAATAGATGTTAATAATGATAAAACATTAACAAAAGATGAATTTATTGATGGAATTATGCAAAATCCATATTTATCGGATATTGTATCGCCATTCAACGGATAAATTCATCAAATTGTATAAATTTTGTTTTTTTTGAAGTATTGTTTATTCTATACTTCATAATAAATATAAGAAAAAGAAAAATAAGATAATTACAACAACAACACACTTTAAAAATATACAGTCAGTTTTTTTCTTCTTCTTCTTCTTTTTTTTGTTTGATAAAACCGGTGCATTTCATTGTATGGACGAGGTGCTCATTTTTTCGGGATAAAGTTTTTCATCTCATATTGCCTACATAATTAATAAATGTAAAAAAGAAAAAAAAAATTCAATCTGCCATTTATATTCTCCGAACAACAAATCTACATAATTAACTTTTTGTTATTTCGTTTTTTGTTTTTTAAATAATATGGCATTGTAATGATGTGGCATTAAGATGATTAAATTAAAATTTTCTTGTAACTGCTTATGTACAATAATTTTTTGTTTGTTTTACTAAATATATCTTGTTTGTGAATATATTCTCTCTCTCTCTCTCTCGCTGTCTTATTTGCCATATGTTTTTACATTAACTAATATTTACAACATATTTTTAACTGGTAATACGTATATGACTGCTGTTGCTTGTTCAAAACTCAATAACTGTTAGACATCATTTAGTTGACTGATTGATGCATAAACATCAACTACATAGAGTGTTAGATTTTTAATCTAGATGTGTTTGTTTATACATGTCATTGGAGAAAACGAGAAAAAAAAAGAAAAGATAGAGTAAATAATCACTGTTCGCCGATATCAGCAGCTTCTTGTCAAAAAAAAAGAAAATGATAACCTATTTATAGTATATATAATTAAGTAGTTTTTTTTCTCTAATATTGTACAATCTCGCTTACTTCGAAAATGATAAGAGCTGGTGTTATTTTTTACTAAGAATTTTTCTAATACAATATGTATTTCTTTTCTTTTTATTGTCAACTACAACGTCTTTTCTTTTTTTTACTAAAGATTTTTTTTACTGACTCTCTTTTTATAAAAATAGTACTGCTATAGATTAAAATAGCTGGTGTTGTGTTTTTTTGACCTGATTATTCGAGACAATTTGACTTAAAAGAAAAATAATTATTGTTGTGATTAAACAAACAAATCATTATTATAACAAGAAAGTAATTGAATTAATTAGTATTACACCGACAAACTCCTTCTATATTTCAACAAACATTTGAATGGCTCTTGATCTTTTGTGTGTGTGTGTGTGTATCCAGGTTTAGAGAACATACCACTTTCTCCTACACATCTCAACAGGAAAAGTTCTTTTTCTTTTTCTTCCATAAACATCAAGTAAATATAATTGAATAAACTGCTCTCAATCTACTTCCTTTATATTATTTTCATTAACATCTATCTCTAATTACTGTTTATGTAAGAAAATAATTTTCACCTTCAAAAATTCATATATAAACGTAAAACAATATGTTAAACATTTTTTCGGTCAATTTTTACCATTATACTCTTTAAATGATGGACAAACAGAGGATTATACGGTAAAAACAATTTGTGATTCTCTCAATAATAGCTGAAACAAGTAAAAATGGTATGTTTTTTTCAACGTAGCCAGCTATGTTTGTCAATCAACATGATTCTTTGGAAGTAAATAATAAATCTCTATTAAATGTATTTGATGTATGTGCAAAGATGTTCGTACTTTTCCTCCTTTTTTATTCAGTACATGCAATATAATATCTCACAAAATATGCAAAACTTGAATATGAGTATAGGCAATGATCAGTTTCAGAATTACTTTTACATGGAGTGTTCATCATACGGATGTAATCGTAAAAACATCGTTATTATTTATGGCTAAATCAACAAAACAATGAGAGAAGAGAGAAAAGAACATAGAAAAGGACAAAAAAAAAATGGATATTTTGCTATACACTAGTTAAAATGAAGGAATTAATTATAGTCAACGACAATATGTCGTATCTACTATCAGTTGTAAATTTGTGGAAATATTGTAAATAATTATTTCTCTTTAGGATAAATAGTGAATGTTTGTTTATAAAAAAAAATCTCACGACATATTCAATAGTTCTGAAATTTTCTCATACACAAGAACTAGAAATATTTTCGTGTCTAGTAACTAATGATTGTTTGTTATCAATTTCATGTCATTTCTGATATATAGTGGGATAACAAAAGGATAAACACGTGTTGTATATTAAAAAAGAACAGATATTTGTCATTAAATAATGCAAATGTGATTGATTTTTCGTCTTCTATGATAAATTAGCTAATAACTATTGCCTTTAGCTGCTTTCTTATTTTATGTATTTCTATTTTTGACATGAGCTATTTACAAGATGATGACTCTTTTTGATATCCATCTGCATAATCCAAACTCGTTATGATCTTACAGGTGTATCAATGTATGTGAATTGTAAATATGTTAAAGAATAATAATAACAGTAAATTAAAAAAATAAGAAAGATAAACGTACAATCAAATAGTTTGTAAGAGTTTCTTACTCTTTTAAATTTTGAATAATACATCATAGGAATTAGATTCATAACTTCATTTTCATAAATGTACAAGTGTTTGATGTAAAATTAGTCAGAATAAAAAATGTATAGGACTATCAACGTCAATAACGTGGGAGTAGCAAAGAAAGGAAAACAGATGTCTTGACAGTATGTAAGTGTAACCAATCAAATAAACTTGACTCCCAAAACTTTATTTTATTCTCATATACATTATAAAAAATGTTAGAATTTTATACACGTACTTCAAGGTAGAGTTAATAATAGCAGATGTTTCAAATTTAGTACGCAATGACATCAACAGTACACTCCACTTTTGAAACGATAAATTGCAAAATCAACATCTAACTGATTTCAGTGACTGTTTTTTTCAGGACTGATTGTTCTATTATCAGGGAAACAAGACTAAAAAATTTTACGATATAGACCAATCTTACAAATAATCTTCATAGGTCATGCGGATCCAGTTATGATTATGATATGCATTATATAAGTCATAAATGAAAAATGATCATGACGCATCTTTTATCCGTTTCGACTTTATGACATGAGCTTAGTTTATCAAAAGTCTGTAAATCTTGGATGTTAATCAACGGTCATGCTATCCAAAAAGCTACCCAATCTAGTTAGTTTTTTCTGTTTATACAATATCATATATTTTAAGTATATATAATCGTAGAAATATCTGACACTCCTTCGTAAAACATTTCACGATGAAATGGTTAATAACTAAGTATATTCAAAAATAGAGTGTTCTACTCATATTAAATGAAAAAAGAAACAGAACACATTTTTTTTTTCTTTACATTAAACAACAAAAAGTAACAAGAGAAAAATAACTACGATTTTGTATCTGATTCCAATGGTTCAACTAATTCTTCAATCAATGAGTTTAATGATTTTGAATATTTACAACCTAAACATCTCATATTCACATAGCATTGTGCAAGACATAACAAACGATCTTCATCGTATTGATCCCAATATGCTTCCAAAAATTTTTTCCGTATAAACCATTGATTTTTACTTTCAGTGGATAAACGATAAGTTTTTTCAAAATCTGGTCGCTCTTTTTCCTGGACATGATCCATTTCTTTGTCGCCCATTTTTTTATTGACAAATAATAATCTCTAGAAGTAAACAAATTTAAAAATATTCGTAAGGATCAAACATAGGCTGGTTAGGCAAAGGTTTTTAACACCTACACAAAAAAAAGACAATCTAAGCTCTGCTGTAAGGTTATTTCTCACACATGATGTAAATACCTGCCAAAATGCTAAAGAAATTTGTGCAAACAACAATTCAGATTTATTCGAAAGTGCGTTTCAATTGAATGAGAACTTATTTCCGAAAGTAATAAAAAATTTCCACTCTTGAGCGACGTGGATAAATAAACTCAGCGTGGGATTGCTGTTGGTGATACACGCTCGCTATCAAAACAGGAGTAAAATTGTAAAAAAAAAGCAAGGCTTTAAACTATTGAATATATATCTGTTGTTTAATGAAGTATCTCTTTATTACAAAATGTATCACATTTGCTTAGTGGATAATTACATCAGTAATAAAGATTTAAAATAATGAATCATTAAATAGTGAATCTAATACTACAATACTCGATTCGAGAAATGAAACTAGAAGTGTTAAACCTAACATAGTCACAATAAATGTGAAGAAAAAAGAAGCTCTACTCGTTCAACTTCGATCTGAAATCTAGATTCATCGGCCATCATGGATGTGATTAACAAAAAATTTCATAATTCGAATTTAAGACATCCTTTTATTGTCTATATTACGTTCGAATCAATTTTGTACTTTTTTCATTTGGATTTGATCTCAGTTTAGACTTTTAGATATTGACTAACTCTAGTAACAACTAAAATTTTAATCTTCATCAATACAGATTAAAATGCAGATACCGGAACATGTGATAAACTAGTGATTTCTGTTCATTAATACTTCGAAGAGAAAATTCTTGTTTAAAAAGTAGGAGAACAAGATCGTAACATTTGGAAGACATTTCTAAACCTATCTGAGCGTGAGCAAAGAAACATAATTGCTAGAGTATCAACAAAAAAATCCATCGTTCATCATATGTGCAGACAACTGTATTTTGATCTGTACTGATGGGGATTAAAAGTTAGTGGATACTTCTACTGTAACGTGACGTCAATAAATAAAGAATATCACTTTTTTTAGTATACTTTCTCAAGGCGTGTAGGAGTAAAAGGACTGAGTTTGTGAACGCTTTTTTTCAGACATGCCAGTATCTAACAATGATAACAGACGAACGATATAAAAAAACATGAATCCTTTTGAGAGAAATATCTAAGGTATAATTTTTGACCGATAAAATCTGTATATTTCCCTAGACAAGATAAATAAAGGTATATTTTCGGTGAATTAAACTAATCAGAAATGCACTGAATACTTTGATACTCAATACACATCCGATTCTCACGCTTTTTTCAAAAAAGAAATGTTTGTCAAAATCTGTAATAAAAAATAATTTATTGAAGATATAACATATTTTACAGAAAAAAAAGTAGCATGTTTATAAAAACAGAACCAATCATAGTTCTAAAGTTTAGTGACAAAATACGAAAAAACAAAAACAATACAGTTATGCAGACAAGATGAATATATGACACAGACAAATGATCTTTATCTATTTTGATTAAAATTGACACTATATGAACCAGTTGATGGATCTTGCTGCATTTTAAAATTCTCTGTTGAAAGGCCAAATGGTTTCAATATCATATTGCCTAAATCTTTTAATTTTCCTAAAATAATAAATAAATAAATAAATAAATATAATGTCATTCTTTTTTTTTTTACTGTTTAACTATTTCACATTACCTAACATTTCGTCTTTCAATTTCTCATTTCGTTCTTTTATTTGATCCGGTAATATCTACATATAAAGAAGTCGTATGTAAAATATGTATTACTCGAGACAAATCGATTTTATGTCTTTTCCAAAACCGAAAAAACTTACATGACAAGCGACTCGTGCCTGCTGATTTGATGGATCTAATTGAACAATTCTTTGATAATCTTGTAAGGCGTCTTCTAATTTATCTATTTGTTTATAGGAATCAGCACGCCTCAATAATGGTTTAATATAGGTTGGATCAAGTTCAATTGCTTTTGTACATGATTGGACGGCAGCTTCAAATTTTTCCTTTAATAAAACTTATTAATTAATAAAATTGAGACCAGACAAAGAGATTCTTACCAATTTCATAAGACAAGCAGCACGATTTGAATAAATAATAGCACGATCTTTTGCTTCATTCAATGGACATAAACATAATGCATTACTGTATTTTTCTAATGATTGATCAAATTCACCACGTCCAAATAAGGCATTTCCCTCTTCTTTACACGTTTTAGACTCAATATAACGTTGCTAAAATATCATAACCGTTAGTTATAAAAAAAAAAAACGTACAATATTTTTATCTGTTACCTGTTTTTCATCATCTGTCAACATTTTTTCTTTCTCAATTAATAGATCTTCATCAATATAATATGGATCTTCTAAATACATACATAAAAAAAAAATGATATCAATTGTTAAACTGTCTATAGACGGTCATGTCGTGTACCTGGCGATTTATCTTCTTCTTTCTTATAGTCAACATTTGTGGAATTATTTAAACGTTCATGCAACAGTGTCGGCGGACCTTCACTATTCTAATTAAAACATTAAAAAAAAACAATCGAAAATCAGTTAATATTTTAATGAAAAGAAAAAAATATTTACCGTTTTATTTGTTTCTAAGTTTAAATCGTTTAATTTGGGAATGTTTACATCATCTTCTTTAGCATCAAAAAATTCATGTTCATCATTATCATAGGCATCATCATCATCATCATCACTCGACCATGTAGCATTGTGTTCTGCTGTATGTGTATGATCAAAACTTGGTTGAAACCATTCATCATCATTATTATCGTGCGTGGAAATATTTGTTCGTGTTTCACTATTATTATTCATATTAATTGATTCTAAACATAAGATAAAATAAGATCAACAATATTTCTTCACCTAAAAAACAAAACATTTTTTGTTTCGATTTTCTACAAAAGTGCAAGCTTTTCAGTAGATGTCCTGTACAACAATTGAATATATCAGGGAAATAAGACTAAAAAATTTTACGATATAGACTAATCTTACAAATAATTTTCATAGATTATTTATTAATATTTGATATAGAAAAAAAGAACGTTTTTTTGTTTATTAATTGACTCTGTATAGTAAAAATAAAAAATAAATATACCAGCGAGTGAATAAAACAAAAATACATTAATTTAAAATAAATAGAAAAAAATTAATGTTTATCTTCATGACAATTAGATGTTTGATGTTCATTTTCTTATACGGGAAATTGTGCCGGAAGTACCTGAAATTTAAAATCACTTGGAAATAATTCTGATGCATTTGGTAACATTATTTTATATATTTGACGAATTGTTGACTCCATTACGCCTGTTGCCGATTGTACATCTAGAAAAATAGCAAAGACATTAGAAAAAAATTCATATTTTCTAAAATCTATCATCATTAGCTACCTTTCATTGTTCTCCTTTCACCTGCAGCCACTGCAGCCATAAATATTGAAGCAGCACCAACTGATGTTGGATTACGACTTTGTACATCACATATTTCTTTAGCTGTTTCAGCAATAAAAATAGCTGTTTTTTTAATTAATGTTTCATTATTAAATTGAAGATGATTACAAAAACGTGGCTAGAAATAAATAGAGAATAAAAACATATATATTAAATTTTTATTGAATTTTTCTACTAATTTTTATTACCATAAGATTTTTGAGATCAATTGAGTCTGGTGCTGATGCTTTTGGCAAACTATTAATTATTTGTTTAAAACAACGTCCAATATCTTTTTTAGACGAATGTGATATGGCGCATATTTCTAAACAAATATAAACTTAACATTTATCTTATTTTTTATTTTAATAATATAGACCTTTGATTGTTCGTGGCATTTTTTCTTCTCGACAGGCAATATAGATGCATGCGGCAACAATAGCATCTTGATTTCGTCCTTTTGTACATTTTTGTTCATGACAATGTTTAAATAATACTCCAGCACGATTATTTATTTTATGGGATAAATTAATTCGGCCACCCATAACTCGAATTGCTTCAATACCACTTCGAAGAGTTTTTTCACTACTCGACATCTTTAAATAGAAAAAAATTAATAGAAAAATTTTATCTTTTCATATTTCTATAATTTTTATTGATTATTATTCTTTTTTAAAGTAATATACCTGCCGTCGTCCATTACGATATCTCTGATTTCCAAATTCATCAAGCGCAGCACCTACAAGGAGAAAAACAAAGAGACTTTTCTAGTAAAATGTTTCTAAAGTTTTAGTATAAAAAGAAACTTACTACCAGTACCAGGTGACATTATTGTTTCAAGACCTTCGCCATCGAACAACGGATTTTCAGCAGCACCGACACGTGACATATCTTTTGATTCTGAATCATTACTAAATGTTCGCCACTCAGAGCCAACATCAATCATTCTAAATTGAACGAAGTTACGTGTATTTTATCTCAAAATTTAATATACATTAGAAAACTCACCGATCGCCAACAACAAGAGCACATTCTGGACAAATCATATCACCAGCACGATAATCTTCTATAAGAATAGCGTCTGGATGAAATCGACAACTTAATTGTTTGATATAACTAAAAACAAAGTTAAAGTATAAATCGAGAAAATTATCGATAAATTTGAGAGAGCTTACCGAGACATTGTCTATGAGTCGTTACGATCTAAAAATGATGATTAACAACTTTTTTTAAAAAATTATATAGAGAAAAACGAAGTTGGAAGAGAGCTAAATACTGTAACCTTGAACATTTTTCAAATACGTTTAATACAAAAGAAGAGGAAAAAAAGAACTTTTCTCATCCTATTCATATGGCACTCTGTAGCACTTTTTTTTTCTTTTTTTTTCTTTTTAAACTTTAACTCCCATCTCCCCAGTTCAATCGCACTGAAATCGGGTTACTCCATTGCATCTGTGTCCAAAGGTACCGAGACAATGAGCATTAGATAGCTTGTCCAAAACTATCACGCGACCGCCGTTACTGGGATTCGAACTCCGTATGTTTGAAGTATGTTGTCTGCCCACTAGCCGACTGAGTCACGCTGCTCTGTAGCACTTAAAATTCAAGATGGCGGATAAGCTCAGAGATCAAATTGACAAATGTTCAACTTTTTATCGGTTTTTTTTCATTTGAAGTAAAGTTTTAACTGTTTCTTTCCAATACGGATGGTTTTAGAAGACATTTTAAAATGAATATTCTCGCAATGAACAGAAAAACGACGAGGGGTCATCATACACCTAGGATTCACATCATGAATGAGAAAATATTTACTGTTAAAATGCTGCCTATTCGTTTGAGCGAAAGCATTCTTGTTTTGTACATCATTTTGCTGATGTAGTATTGCATAATAAATGGATGGCTAACACATTCAGATCAATTCTACGATATTATTGAGAAAGATTATAGTAAACAAAGATTAAACTTTCATCTAATTAATTCAGAATAAAACTTGATTCTGTTAACAATCGAAGATAGTCTTGATATAATCAGATCTGTAACCGATAAACTCTGTGCTCATTGCCCATTTATATACATCATGGTGCTTGAATAAGAGCATTAAAATTTGATTTTTATTGAGAAAATCTCCGATTGTTATAACAGAATCAAGTTTACTGCTGAATTAATTAGATGAAAATTCAATAATTTGTTTACTACAATCTTTCTCAATAATATCGTAGAATTGATCATCTGAATGTGTCATTCATCCATTGATTATGCAATACTACATTTATATTTAGAAAAACCACGTATAAAGCAAGAATGACTCCATACAAATAATTAGTTACAGACATGCGGACGCTCCATCTACGTAAAAGATATGTTAGTAGATATCACATCATGTAGAATTGCGTTAGCAAGCAAGCGATAAAACATTGAATTTTAGACAAATCACTGAGAAATTCCAAAAACAAGCATGTGCTTTAAAGTTGCTCATAGTTATTTTGGCATTTGGTGATAAGTTTGATTGTTTTGCTGTTGTTAGAACGTTCATATTACCGCTAGGACACTTTTTTGTATTTCACATCGTTCAATTTCGATTCTATTACCATCATCATTATTTACTTTGACAACTCATTATCACTTGTACCGTATTGGTTTTCAATCTTGATTGCCGTTGTTGTTCATTACTATTGTTTAAATTTATACAATTCGTATACTTAATTGAGGTGGTCAACAGAAACTGAAAACAAGCAGACAAGTTTAACGAACACATCTGGGATGTTATCTTGATTCAATACCGGAGTTATCTCAATTCCATAATTAACATTTTCTTTAATACACGGTATTGCTTGGATCGTACACCATTTTTTATTTAGCTATTTAAATAACTGTGATGCTTAGTTTAATGTTTCTTCTTTGAATAACCATTACTCTGATGTCCAAAATATTGTAATTGGTGTCAAGATAGATGAACGATGAAGCAAGTGTTAAATTTGAAGTTGTTAATCTAGAACTAGATGATACAAATGGCGTGATTCAAAATCTTTCTTGTTACCGCATAGCATTTGGTATTTTCTAAATTTGTCGCTGTAAATTCTAATACAAAATTTCTGTTCACTAACGATGAGTATTTCTCATTTTATTTACATTGAAGAATTCTGAGTATCTCTTCGATTAACGAGGAAGCAATAGTTTTCAAAACGTCCAAAATTGATTATCTGAGATTTCTTCAACATAGTCTCCATACTCTTGTCCGACAAAAACTAAAAGCTTTAATGAGATCACTTGATTGGCAAATTATTGTCTGTCATTTGAAATTGTAAGAAAAGTTAGCGAAAGCATGAAATAAAATAACCAAACTTAGAGAAAAGTCAAAAAATTAACACTTAACAAGAAAGACTGTTCTTTTCACTTAGAAGAAAAAAAATAACATCAGCGAAGTCAGCTAACCATGTTAACATGCACTAACTTAACTCAATTAGCCTCTACACTATCTTTATCATATGAATACACTCAATTTATAAATCGAATTTATATTACTCAACTTGGTATACAACCTTGCATTCACTTGGCTAGCGAATCAGAAACTTGCTCTGTACCACAACATCAAAAAAAATGCACGCTGAAGACATGTCTGTCTTTTTCACTATTCCCTTTCTAATAAGTTAAGTTCATATTATTAGAATGTGGAAAAAAAGATTTTTCACAAATACTGCTCTATCGCATCCGCCAAATCAAGTCCATAACATGAAATTCCATTGGTGAATCCAGTGAGTCATGTAAACTACTCTCGATTTATCATGTCAAGAATAATTTGAGTTGTTTATGCTGTGCATAACGTGGCAAACATCAAGCAGTGCAAAGCAAAACACAGGTTAGAAGTACTGAGTACACATACACACAGCGACATAACTTATAAGGATAGGTCTAGGAACAGTTAGTTCTTCATAAACTACCTCTGTATAACATAAATTTTTAGGATGGAGCTAAAACATATTATTAGGAAAGAAGATCGATTCAAGTTGAAATCTCTTCTACCCAAGATGGCCATAGGGTTATTTTTGTCTTTTATGCATAGATTCTACATAACGGTACTGTACTCAGTGGCTTCAGGATGGTTGTAGGGAAAGATCGATTCGTTCAGTTGTCAGGAAAGAGAGGCAGAATGAGTTGATACTCTGGTACTAAGAAGTGGAAATTGCTCATTGTCATGGTCAGATGTTCTATTCAAAGAAACATTAAAGAATATGCAAAAGAAAACAAAAATATGTGAAAATTTGTACTCGCAAACAGGATTCGATCCTTTAACCTTTCCATCATGTTGAATTTAATCAATTTGTTTATGGATTTAACAGATACAATAAAATTACTTGTCAGGCATAAAAATGATGTAAAATGTCGGTTACTATTAAAAGAATTTTCATTTTGATTGAAAAAGCAAATTTCAAAAGAGTTAGACACGTTGTTCAGTCAAAATACACTATTTATAGTGTGTCGATTAGTTCGAAACTATGTATAAAGAATTTATTTTGTTATTCTATTTTTTTTGCGAATAT